GTGTGATCAAGTTGAGATGAGTTGATAAAAATCTTCATGGAACTAGATATCATGATGATTGTATGTGAGTTATCAGAGAAATTCAAGAAAAGAACTAGAAAAACTTCCATTTTTTTGCTTATATAGTAATAAAAAGGTTCAAATACCTTGTTGCTTTCTTTCAAACAACAACTAATAGTTGGTGAGATGGTAAGGGTGATGGGTATAAACTTTGGAGGTGCTGGGTTCGATTCCCACACCAAGCACTTATATTTTTCGCACCAAGATTTTCAAGAGGAAAAAAAAGTAGGCGGATTACGGTAGTTAAGTCGGGAAAGTCCCAGTCATGATTGGGAAGTCAACTAATCATGCGGGATTGGATTACAACCAGTCGGGAAAGTCCCAGTCACGATTGGAAACTCAACTAATCATGCGGGATTACAGCGATTAAGTCGGGAATGTGCAACGTGATCGCCAGCACCGTTTGATCGAGAATGGACGTGATCCACATCGTGCGGATCTGTTGCAAATTTACAGTCGGCAGAAATTTAGCTTTGTCGTTTCGCAAAATAAAAGAAAGGAAAAAAGACGGAGAGCAGCAGAGGAACACAGACTACGAAATCACTAATTAAGGAGTACTCCTTGCGGAGATCACTCCAATTTCCCCAGGGTGCGACAAGTGGCGCGCTGCATGTGCGCCACTTGTCGCAACCTGGGAGTTTTTCCTTTTTTCGTAGATCCGTTTATTCAAAATGTTTTATCTCTTAAACCGTGCGTCCAAATCTCGAACCGCTTTCGTCATTGGATTCCTCGCGTGGAGATCTTCAAAACTAGATCCCATGTTGATAGGTTTTGACGAACTTTTTTTTCAGAAAAAACCGGATAAAAAAACCGACGAGAAAACTGAACCGGGAACAAGGGTTTTTTTCCTTTCCGAAAGAGGCACACCCGTGCCTCTGACGAAATCACAACCGTGCTTCTCGTGGAAACAAAACCGTGTCTCTCACGAAAGAAAAAAAAACAGAAAACGCGTTTTTTTCCTTTTCCGAAAGAGGCACGCCCGTGCCTCTGGCGGAAGCAACATCGTGCCTCTCGCAGAAGTAAAACCGTGCCTCTCGCAAAAAAAATAGAAAACACATTTTTTTTCGTTTTAAAGAGGCACTCGCGAAAGCACAACCGTGCCTCTTGTGAAAACAAAATCGTGACTCTCGCGAAAAAAAATGCATTTTTTTGCGCAAAAAAAAATCTGTTGAAAAGCTAGGGAAGACCGGTAAAAACCAAAACGTAAAAAAAAACCCCCCAAAAAAACCTTTTAAAAAGCCGAAAACGCATGCTTAAAAATAGAAAAAAAAACAAAATCCATAGGGAGCGTCCAGAGGGCGACACGTGGCGAATGGCTGTAAGCGCGCCAAATGGCGCTGATCGTTGCGAGGCTCCCGAAGGAGCGCTCGTTAATTAGTTGCTCCCCACAGACGACGTTGCAACGAAAATATTTTGTTTTTTCATGTGAACCATTGAAAACGGTCCGTCGGAGCGCAACACGACTCGTGTTCCAACGCCCCGAATGTAAAAGAGCCATGTTGTGAACTGCTGGGCGTACATCTCATGCGAACAACCATTTCTCATCGATCTGAGTGATATCCTTTACAACGAGCGACCCATAACTATTTTTTTGCGGGTATCTAGCGACCCAACCAACCCCGCACCACAACATCAAATTGTACGACTATGTTAGGCCAAAGAAATACTTTGTCAAATGTGGAGGTAAGTAGATGGTTGGCTCAATGGATTTCTAAGGTTGATGATGAACAGAGAGAAATGATGATGCATAGAGTTTATGGGCCTTGGCTTGCGAGGAATAATGCAAGGGATGCCAAGAAGATTCAATCTCCACATGAAATATCCTATTCGGTCTCAAAGCTTTTGGATGAGTGGTATGAGGTTGTGCAACGAAAATCAAGAACTGTTGTGCGACCACCACTTGAGAAATGGACACCACCTGAACAAGGGTGGATTCTAGCGAATGTTGATGGAACGGTGTCAAAGAATGGATGTGAGGGAGGAGAAGGGGTGGTCTTGCGTGACCATGATGGTACCTTTCGGGGTGCTGCAACTCAATTCTTTTCGTATGATTCAAAACCGGAGTTTGTAGAATTGAAGGCATGTAGAAAAGCGCTCCAATTTGGGCGTGATTTGAGCATCTCAAAGATTCAAGTTGAAATGGATTGCAACCAGGCTGCGAGGATGATAAAAAGTGTTTGCAAAAATTTCTCGGCGGCTGGGCCATGTTGAGGATATTAAGTGTCTGATGCACGGATGGCAGTGTTGTAAAATTTCATGGAGAAGAAGAACTGCAAATCAAACTGCACATATTTTTGCTAAGTTAGCTGTTAGTGAACAAGTATCTCATGAATGGCGTGTTGTGACTCCTGAGTGTATTCTGCATGTACTAGGGGCGGAGATTCCGAAAGCTTTTTAATTAATGAAGTTTGTTATTCTCAAAAAAAAAAACTTTGTCGACCACACCTATGAGAAGCAACACTGGCACACATCATCCACACGACATGTCGGTATTGAAAGGGATGCAAATCTTCATCGATTTCTACGGCACGACATGACATTGACACTTTGTCACCACAAAGGGACACTTCCAAGCGATGTGTCATCCTCGTCAGGCCGCCGCAATGCCGTAGCCGATACTTCATCACCAAAGTCTTTGTCAACGTGATCTTCACCAATATCTTCGTCAACACACCTATGCCACCTCTTCCACATGATGTCACCTTCGACGTCCTCTGATAGACTCTTTTGCAAGACGCATCATCCGCAACGACATTTATCGCCTCAATAATGGCATCGACTGCTTCCTCTACGACGACACGACTGTATTGACATAACATCACCCTAGTGGTGACCTTCACGGCCATACGGTCCTGAAACTACTGTATGCTCAATGGATTTTCTTCCATGGCAAAATCGGTGGTCTCATCACGAACAATACCCTCTAACATCTTCAAGGGATATCGCACGACTGCAACTCCGTCATAGCGCTTTTTCGCGCCTCCGACTTTGTGTGGCTTTATCATCCATGGTGACTGAGGGAGTCCCAGATTAGGGGGTGTCCGGATGGCCGGACTATGACCTTTGGCCGGACTCCCGGACTATGAAGATACAAGATTGAAGACTTCGTCCCGTGTCCGGATGAGACTTTTCTTGGCGTGGAAGGCAAGCTTGGCGATACGGATATGTAGATCTCCTCCCATTGTAACCGACTCTGTGTAACCCTAACCCTCTCTGGTGTCTATA